AGCTTCTACCTCTTCTTTCTCTACTTGTATTTTTATTTGTTCTAAGGGTGGATATTTGGCTTCTATTATTTTTTCTGTGGTAGTTTTCCAAATGTTTTTAGTTTTTTGTAAAGGATTTATTTTTTTATTAAATGGATATTTTATATTGTTTATAATACAATATTTTTCCATCCAAGGAAAGAAATAGGTATTTATTTATATTTCTTCTAAATAATTGTAAAATTTTTCTCTAATTTTTATCCTTTGTGGTTGGTTAAATGTTTTCATTAACCAATCTTTTCTATCTATATTGTGCTCTCCATCTATATCTTCTTTAATCCATTGTTTATCTATGGTAAAAGGGTCAATTTTTTCTATTGTATTTAAAACTTGAGATGGTGTAAGACTATAATTTATTTCTGAATTTTGCTCATAAACAGGAATAGAAATTCCTGGTTTTGTTATATTATCTATTTTTGTTAGATCAATTTCTACTGTTGATCCACTAATAGAGTGTCTCAAAGGTTCTTTAATAGTTGATGGTTGGCCTATATGGATTGATCTAGACCTATTCATTCTGAGTCTAAATCTACCTGGTTCTTCTATTATGTCCCTTATTTCTGTGTGTTCTTGTTTGATGGAAGAGGGTTCTTCAAAGACCCATTCTTCTGGTATTGTTAATAGGTAATGCCTCAATCTTTTAGGAACTTGCACTAAACTTCTATTCAAATTAGCTTGTATTACTACAGTTTCATCTCTATTAATTTGTCTATTTGCTTTAAATCCGTAAGGAATTTTAGTAATTTTGTAATAAACTCTATAGATTACATGAAATGGATCGAACAAGTCATCTACTATATTTTCTTTTACTTTTGTAAATATTTTAATGGCTTTAGATGTTTTTTCATTATTTAAGGATATTGATATATTAGGATAACAGTTAAAGAAAACTGGCCTGTCATGCAAGTTACTTTCTAAAGCTGCTATTATTGAGTCACTTTTATATTGTAACTTCATATCTCTTAATAATACAAGTATAGGGAGATCTACTCCTAACTTGAAATTTGGTTTTACTGCTAATTGAATTAATCCTATATGTATGAACTTAAAACCTTCTTGTTTATGTTTATATATAAGTTAATCTTCTAAAAGTTGAATTTCCCTATTTCCGGTCGTTCCAAGATAGGAATATTCTATCTTATGAATCTGTTCATGATTATTTCTAAACAACCAGACAGATTTATCTTTATATACTTTCTTTTCTTTGATTATCGGTATTGACCAATCATGTAAGGATATTTTGATATCATCTATGGTAATCTACTGTGGTGTTGTTGAAGGAGTAGTTACTGATGAAGAGGAAGAATTTTCATCTTCTGCTCTTATTACTCTTGTAATTATCTCTCTGTTTCTACCTAAAGCTAAATTACTCATTGTTCTCAATAAGTTTGCCATTTCAAATCCTAAAGGCTACGGGAACACCAAGGTTTACCAATGGTTTTACTGCTCACGCTCAGGACTTACTACCGGGAACACCCTCTAGGCTTACCAACGTACAAACAGCTCTCTCTGGTACCCATTTAGATCCTTAATGACAGACTTATATTGAACAAGTAATAATTAACTCAAGATATGGCAAAAAGATGCTTATAAGATTAATGATATGCATATGATAAAAACTCAAGCTCTTGCCAAAATTTTTAAATTTTCTTTGTTTTCTTTAATATCTAAGAGAAAAAGTTTTTTTTGAATACTATTTTAAGTTTGATTTATTATCTTTCTGGTTTCTCTTAATTTTCTTCTAATATCAACAAGATGATAAAATACCAATTCTCCAAAATTATATATATAGAAAGGCATTTCTCTCTCTCTCTCTTTATATATATATATATATATATATATATATATATATATATAATTATGTAAATTTTTCTAATTTATACAATTCAATACTCCTTCTACTAATATACTATTGCGCTTAGTGCCTTTGTTCTTTTAAGGAATGATAAGAGATAGGGGTACATAAAATATCTATTATTGTATATAATAGTAAAAGCTTTATTGTATTTGCTTTTGTGAAAACATAATGCTTAGGACTGTTTTGAAATGAAATATTGACCTTTTTTTTAATCTTATTTAAATAAATCATTGAACTCTAAAGGTCTTAGGAAGTACAAGTGATGAGCAATATTTTGAACCCATGCTTTTAACTTTTCTATGAGCTAATAAACTTCTTCACTATGCTTAATTGATTGATTCTAGCTATTTTAATCCAAACTTTATTAATTGAATTTTAGTGGAAAAATCTCCTTAATTTCATCATTTTGACCATTCTAACCTTTATTTATTAGTTCTGTAATATTTGTTTCGGATGTTAGACTTTTGAGGAGATTTCTATTTCAATAGATAGTTGATTCATAGAGCTTTAATTTGCTATATCATTTGTAAATTTTGGATTTCAAGCTTTGAAATTATAAGCATTTAAAGTTGATGATGAATTGTTATTAAAAATTGATCACTATTAGCAGCATAAAGTGACAACTTTAGAGTGAATTAAGCAAAATATGGTGAAAGTGTTCATTATTTCTACTCAAAATGAACACTACAAAGCCTTTGTTCAAAAGTAAGAATGAATGTGTTCACTATGTATACGTATAGTGAACACTTCAGAGCCTATTCCTAGGAGAAGAGATGCACGTGAACACTTTGAACACTTACAGTGAACACAACGCAAGTCTGTTGCCAAAAAAAGAGCAGCGTCTAACTCCTTTGAACATTGAGAGTGCACATGTGCACCAATATGAGCTGAAAGTTACCACTTTCTACACATAAAGTGTTCACTACAGAGAGCTATAACTTGAAGGGAGTTGCGCGTGTTCACTTTGTATACTTATAGTGAACATGTGCATGCTAAATTTTGGAAACACACCACATAGTGATCACTTTCTCCACTAATAGTGATTACTTCAGCCAAAGAATGATATAGAAAGCCTTTTGCATGATTACTCTATGCACTCATAGTAATTACGCAAAAAAGGCGAAAAAATCATAAATACGAACTCAGCTCAGAGATTTGGGATCCTTTTGTCATTTTTCATTTTTGAACTTTTAGAGAGTTAGAGAGAGAGCTTTAAGGATGATTTTCCAAGGATCAATCATAGGATTTTCATTTTTTCTATCTTTCTTTTTTAATTTTCTTTGTATTTTCCATTATGTCTATCTTTGCAATTTTGAATTCTATCCTCATAGAAGGCTAAATCTTCTTTCAACTTAGGATATTCATCATTCAATGTATGAATTTTGAGGTTTGGTTCTTAATTAGATTGAATTTCAGTTTGTGTTCTTCTCCTACCTTCACAATTTTGGTTTATTTCATTTTCTCTCAAACATTGATTAATACTTGATGAAGTTATTCTGATTAGAATATAAATCTTTGTTCCAAAATTGAATCATATCATATTTAGATTGATTAATTTGAATTGAAATAGGTTTAATTATAAGCTAATCTCATATTTAGAATTTAGTTTAATTCTGAATTAAAAACTTGAAAATCTTCTTGTGTTTGAATCAAAGTTAACAAAATATAACTGAATTTGAAATATTCCTTGTGAATTTATGATGAATCCTGGTTGATGTGAATTAATTTTTTAAGTTGATCCTTAATCTGTTCTAGCTTTAATTTTATTTCTTTTTTTTTTTGTTCTTGTTTTCAATTTGAATTCTAGATTCTTGTTGATGAATATCCCCCCTCCCCAACCTTGGTTATCCTATTGTGTTCATGAAATCTAGAGTAATTTCTTAGAAAACGATCTAAGTTGCACCTACCACTACATTCTTTTGTTCAAAACCTAGTTTATTTGAGTGCATTGCAACAGTGTACATCAAATTTAAATAATGCTTAGGACTGCTTTGAAATGAAATATTAATTTTTTTATCTTATTTAAATAAATTATTGAACTCTAAAGGTCTTAGGAAGTACATGTCTTTAGACTATAAATTTGTCTTTCTTTAAAATAATTTTGTATCATCACACTACTAAAATTTAAGGTTCTCATTTTTTATTGTAAGATAAATTATAAATTTTTATGCATCTTTTTAATTTTTATATTTAAAGGCTATATGTTAAAAATAAATATAAATTATTAATCTAATTCTTTATTAATAATTTCATATAAAATATAATTTTTATCAATTCAATATTAAATTATAATTATATATTATTTTTATTATTTTTCAAAATTTATAAAACTTAAACAGTTATAAGAATAAAACTAAAAGATCTTTATTTTTATATATCTTCAAATATATATTACATTAATTTTAATGTATATAATAAATATAAAATAAACTTTTAGTAATAAAATTTTATAATCATAATTTATATAATAAAATTTTTTAATTTAATGACTAATTTTAAAATAACATTTTTTAATAAAAATATATTAATCAATGTGACAATGAGTGTAACTCACTCTATCAACAACTTTATATATAAATATTGTTAGCATTATTTATTAGAGGTAATTAATAATAGTAAGATTTTATTAATAAAAAGTGTATTTATGACATTTGCATAACTTTAATATAGTAAATATATAATTTTTTAAATATAAAAATTATTAAACTCAAAATAATTTAATTCTTAATAATCTAATTATTGAAGTAATATTTCAATAAATTAATTTTAAAATCAAAAGAAATAAAAGTTTTAAATATTCAATGTTTTCATATTATAATTTATATTGTTACTTCACATAAAAGTAATATATTATTGTTATATTTTATAATATTTATTATAAGCTACAATAATTTTTTTCACGATTTATTTTTGTTTGATAAACATAAATATTTGTGTATTACAACTTAAAATTTTGACCTCGGCCCGACCCAAAAGAAAACGGCCCATCAACATCGGTTCAAGAAAAAAAAAACAAACGGTTCGGTTTAGGCGAACCGGGAAAAAGCGGCACGAGAAAAAGGAACTCTTGCAATTACAGTAGCTTCTTCTAGACCCACTTGAATCTGGTGTGGTTTCTCCGTTACTGTGTCGATGGAGGAGCTGAAATCTGCTATGGACGAGCACATGGAGCTTATGGCGGATCTAGTTCAGAAGTTATCTTCTGAGCTTCGTGCTGTCCTTCGCCCCGCTTACGATAACTTCATGGGGTTTTTCCACGCCATTGATTGGAAGGTACCAATTCAATTTTGCAACCCCTTCTTTTGTTTTCTATTTATTTTTAGTTTTTGATAAGTGGGGTGTTTTCAATAATCATTTTTTTTTTATTGGGTATGTGAGAAACTAAGTTGTGTCTAGTTTGATGCGTAAAGAATGGTTTCAAGTTTTTATTTTCTTGTTGAAATTTATGTTTAGTGTGATGTTAAATGCTTGTTTGTGCTGTTTATGACGCTTTTTTTTGTCGGATCTCGTTTTGTGGTGTTGGAGGTTGGAACAGAGAAGTATCGGTTGCAGGCGGTGCTGTATTATTTCATTATATAATCTTTGAAATTTAATTTTAAATTTTGTTTTTGGTGATATTTGAATAGTGCAATGAGTATTGGTGAAGAGAAGGTGATTGGATGAATTAGCAGTGATGCTCTCTTGCTTTTGAATGCTGATGTTGTAATGGGCTTTTACCAGGAGAATGTTGCACATAGGAAACCTATGGATCTATCATGCTATCAAAGGTTTCAAGCAATATTAAAACATATCAATGGAAGTAAATTCATATTTGTTCTTGGCAAGACATGAATAACTTGAGATTTTCAATCTATGTGCTATGTATCTTAGTTCAGAATGCATATAATATTTGGGTAGATAATATGGTTTTCTGAAACATGTTTTTCTGTGTTTTCTATTCTCGTATTATTCAATCTTTATCATTTTTAGTTGTCTGAATTTCTTGTGATTTTTGGCATCCTTTGGGTTTACTAATACTATGATGCCTTGATTCTTTGTTTCAGGAACCTTGGCTGATTGGATTGTTGACATTCCATGTTGTTTTGCTGCTTGTAGCTATCTTCTCTCGGAAGAATACTAACTTTCAAATGTTCCTGTTCCTTTTGACATGTATGTGGCATTCCTTATTTTTTTTATGGAATGGATTTTTCATCAACTACATAGGCTTAATTAAAACTTTATTACTTCTGATGTAGCTAGCTTCCTTCCTGTTTAAATTTGTTACTTTCCCTCATGACAATATAAGTTAGCACCATGCCTTTGTTCTTTTGCCTTGGGTGAAAGGCAGGGCTAAAATAATATGAAATTGAGAGGACTGCTATCCTATATGCTGTTTGGCTTTGGTCTTTTTGCATGTAAATCAGTTTTTCTTATTGTGATTTTATACTTTGCGCATATATTCTTTCATATTTTAGATTGAAAATCCAGTCATTTTTAGCACCTTGAAACTATATATTCTTTTGAATTATGAAGAACTTAGATAATTGCAAAAATCTCAGTATTATTTATGTCAAGATTTCTTTCTAAGACCCATTTTGGACAAGCAATAAATACTTATGAAAGACAAAATTACAGAAGTAAAATGAATTAAATCCCTCCTAATGTTAATATCAACTTATGGTCTTCTTCTACCTTTTTAGAAGTCTTTTTGTTTAACTTCTCCAAAACTTACGATGCATAAATTAATTTAAATTTATGAAAGGAGTTTTATTCATAATATCTCTTTATTTTCTTCTTCTATAAGTACTTATATAGAAGTTCATGTTGAATTGAGCCTAAGTGAGAGATTTCATGATGGATTATCTTAGCCACAGATCAGGCAGTGGCAAAACCAAATGTCCTTTTATGGGACCATAGGTGGAGTTGTCTAGCAATTCTCTGGAATTGAAATTAATTGCACAGGTTATCTATTTTAGGTAAAAACTTAAGGTCAAGAAGTTATATGCCAAATGTTGAAGATTCATGAAGATTGTGTCTGAGTCATTAAATTTTGATGGAAACAGTACACTTTTCTGTGACTAGTTTTTCATCAATGCTTTCCACTTTTATCGAGTTATGTAACTTCTAATTTTTATTTCATGTGAATTGTTTATAGTACCTGTTCATTTTTCATTTACATGTTTTGACTGTTATAAATATTTTCCATCTCCTTGTATGCTTGCAGTATTACTGATATTTTTTTGTTCTATTCTCTTTATGAAATCTCCTCTTTATTCTCACAATAGAACACTATCGGTTTGCATCATTTGATCAATGTAGCCGGTCTTATTTAATGAGAAACAGCTGGGCAGTTTTTTTTTGGTTAAACAATTCTTGTAACTAGTCTTAGCCACAAGTTGTTTTGATGCAGTGGTTGGTGTATATCTTGCTGAGAGTCTGAACAGATATATGGGGAAAAACTGGAAAAGCTTCTCTGGTCAAAACTATTTTGATCCAAGTGGACTATTTATGTCAGTTCTTTGGTCTGGACCTCTTCTTGTCATTGCTATAATAATCTTGGTTAGTATTTTCCTTCACATAACCATTTTAGTGCTGATCATCTTTCCATATTGACTTTAAGTATCTTTGTCTTTCTCTGCAGATCAATACACTATTCTCCTTATGTTACTTGATTGTTAGGTGGAAAAGAGCTGAACTGAGACATCGTGCAAGAGCTGCTCGTAATAAGCAGGACTAGTTGTGTCAATGGTGATGTATTCATATGGTCATGCAAATGATTCTTTCTTCTTAAAAAAAATATTATTCAGTAGTTATTATTATCCAGTTGCGTTTATGTATACTATTAACAGGGGATTTTCCCCCTTTTTAGCTTGTATGGATCACTTTATTTTATTTTATTACTTTTTCAAAATTAATGATGACGTGTACCAAGAGCTCAGCGGCAAGGCGATTGTAACATGAGAGAAGTAACTTGATATTTTGCTTTAGTAGTTTACGTGTACTTGGGTTCTTAGTTCAAATTGATCACAAATTTAGTGCTCATAGTTTTTGTAACTGGTTACATTAAATTTCTCATTATAAAATTTTATTCAATGAACAATGAAAATATAATAAAAGGTGCTTTATTATTGTTTTTGTTAAATTTAAATATTGTGTATTTTTCTTTTATTAATTTATATAAATTAGTGATATTTGACATTTTTATTAATTATTAGATGAACTTTTGAGGTGATAAATTTAATTTAATAATCAAATAATTAAGAAGATTAACAATAATTTAGATTAAAGACATTAAAAATGTATATAGACTAAGGTGTGAATATCAAAATTGTAATTAAGGGTTTGTTTTTTGAACTCTATAGTTCATGTGCGATTATAAATGATTTTTTTTTTCAACTAAAATTATTTTTTTAAAATCAATTTTTTATACGAGACTCAAGTTAATGTAGTATGTTCATTTGAAAATAGAGCACAAGTCCCTTAAGAATAGTGCGATTTATAGCAGGAGACAAGCTCAAATCTTTTTATTTTTTTTATCTTAAACTTTTAAAGACATATGATCGAATACCAAGAGAAGACTTTAGAAAAGAAAGAAGTATGTGTAGCATATATTCGGTTTATACAAAACATATATGAGGAGGTAACTACATGTGTGAGAAACTCTAAAGGCATAACTAAGAACTTCTCAATTGGAATAGGTTTACATTAAGGCTTTATTTTAAGCCCTTACTTGTTTAGTCTAGTTTTAGATGTGATTACAAATGACATATAAAATATAATCCCTCAATGCATGCTCTTGCAAACGATATAGTATTAGTTGAGGATTCGAAAAAAGTTAATGTTAAACTTGGGTTATGGAGGGAGATTTTAGAATCTAAAGGTTTTCACTTGAGTAGAACTAAGACAAAGTATATGCATCATAAGTTTAGCAAAAAAAATAAGATGAGGATTATTGTTGAAAGTTAAAATTAGGGATGATGTTATACTACAACTTTCTAGTTTTAGGTACTTGTGATCATTCGTACAAAATGATGGAGAAATTAATGAAAATATTACTCACAAAATACAAGCTGAGAAGTTAAAGTGAAGAAAAACATCAAGAGTTATTTGTGATTTTAAAGTACCTATCAAGCTGAAAGGTGTAACATCCCTGCTTTTGTAATAATTAAAATTTCATTATATGATAAATATGCATGTAAAGGCATGTTGAGAGAATTTTTAAAGTGTTGAGATGTAAGGCTCTCGCTGTAGCGAGAGTGAGGCAGTGAAAATAGAACATTATGGAGCGATCTCGCTGTAGTAAGAATAGTTTCGCTGTAGTGAGAGATCTTTGCTGTAGCGAAAAGTGCAGAAAATAAAATGCAATTTTGTCTGATATTTTCGCTGTGATGAGAGAGAGTCTAGTTGTAGCGAGAATGGACTCATTGTAGTGAGAAGTATTACAAGTAATCTCTCGCTGTAGCAAAAGTATCGCGATTCTGAAGTTATTTAAGAGTTCATGCATAGAAAACTCATTTCTTAATCTATTTCACGTTCTCCCTTCATTTCTCTGAAATCTCTCTATATTTTCTCAAATAAAACCTCTTCAAATACCGATTATTTCTCTAATGCATTCGTTCTAAGCAAATCTAAGTAAGTTTTTATGAGTTTAATCATTTTTTGTCGTTCATTTTCTTTAAATCTCATTCTAAAGGAATAAATTAATGTTATCTAGGTAAAAGTGCTATTTTAGGACGTTCTTCATCATCAAATATCGTTTAGATCCTTATTATAAGGTAAATGGAGCTCTATTCTATCATTGTGTGATGTTAGTCATATGTTGAGTCCATCAGATCATGTTTATGTATCGATTTTAATGATGTATGTCTAAGTAATGAGTATTAATGAAGAAAGATTGTCAATATGTATATGTTTGATGATTTGATTGACTGATTTTTTATCATATAAATATAAAATATATGATGAGAAAGCACTAGTTTAGTAATATTTAATGAATGTACTGAATGTAATGTGAGCTTACTGTTGAGACATGTCTGAAATTGATGAATATGTCATTGGTGATTTGTTGAATGAAGTGATTATTGAGATCATGAGTCAATGATGAACAATGTGAAAATAGTCTGAAAGTGCTATTAAGCATGATCTTTAGGAAATGATTGAGAAACTTGAATAGTTTGGTGTAAATACTACTTATAGTTTTTGCTTCTCAATGTTATTCTAACTCCAAATATCTTCTCGTCTCCAGATTGATTTCAGAAGTCCTTCCTATTACCTCTTTTTGTTCTTTTGTCTGGCTTAGTTGATGTCAATTTTAAAATTACAATTTATAGATTATGATCAGTTCTACCTGCATTTTTTTGTTTTGTCCAAGCTGGTGTGCAAGTTGCAGATCCAGCAGGTCTTCAAAGGGCAAATTCAGTGGAAATTGCTCCATCAGGGTAAAAATATTTTTATGAAAAATAATAAAAATCTGTCCGAAATTACCATTTGTTGTAAAAACATTGTACACCTCAATAATTACCATTTCAGGTTAGATCAATATAATCAATATAAAATAAATATAAAAAAAAATTATAAACCTCAGTAAAAACATTGTACACTTTCACTTTTGTTGGTAAAATTTTTATACTACTTATTTTTCTATGAAAAATGTTAATGTTAGTTAAATCTTAAGCAATTAAGGCTTTGTTAAATTAATTATTTAGTTCGTAATATTTTTTTAATTGAATTCGTGTTTTAAATATACTTTTTAAAATTAAATTTTTTTATTAATTTAAATCTATATTGTACGTGAATGTACTACCTAATATCCTATTGTATGTCTTATTAAAACTTTATTATATCATTAACAAAAAAACTTTTATAATTATGTTTTATGACTAAATTTTTTATTAATATGAATCCATATAATTAAAACTAAATATTTAAAGTAATATTTTTTAAAATATAATTATTATATTAAAGATACAAATATATAAAAATATTATTGAATACGAATGCGGCACATGACCTCACACTTATTTCCTAACTATACTTTTGCTAAGGGGCTCGTGATTGCATATCATTTGTATTGCATGAGCTAACCGACAACTATTTACATGATTGAGTAAGACCTCGAGAACTGCTAGGGGCATCGAATGACTGTAATCACAGTGCACTTAAGGTGTGGATTTGGGAATGGAAGTGTCAATGAGAGTATGTAAATGTCAATGACGAATGAGATATGTAATGTGTGGTAATGTGATATAAAATGCTATCTAATGGTATAATCATGATGTTGTTATGAAAATATTATGATGCCTGTGTATTGTATTGTAAAATGGGATAGATGCTCACCCTTACACCATCCTAGGTAGTAAAGATGACAACCCATCCCATGCGAATTGATGTCATAGATATTTTTGCCAATAGTAGATGAAATTATGTTTTTAGTGAATATAGACGTGTAGTACATGTATATTTTAGGGTACATTTTGAAGAAAATAAGGAGTATATGATGACTCATATTTAGTACTCACATTTATAGTTTTATTGCATTTTCTAAAATACTTTTTCCTTCTTTATTTATTTCATTTAACATGTTTTTGAATTTTTTACATTAAATTGAAATTTTTATAAATACTTGTTATCTTTACTTTATATTTCATATTCTTCTCTATTCAGACCTTTATCCACTATTTCGGCCATAACTTTTTTTGTAGATTTTCTTTTTGGCTGATTCTTTTTGCAATAGATTCCTGATTTCTTGGGCTTTAATTTGGACATATGGATCATGTTGTTTGGAGTTTGGAGCTATTTTTATTAATTTTTGAAGTTCAGACTTAAAACATACCTTTTATATTTTAGGTTTTTATTTAGGGCTTTTATTATAATTACTTGCGGGCAGCCTTAGCCCATTTATTTTTAGTCTCATTTAAGACCAATATATATAGGGGTCAAGAGGTTTACTTTGCACCCTCTCTTTTCATAATTTTCAATTTTGTAAAACTTTTTTCTGCTTTTGAAAAGAACCATTTTTCGTTACCGTTACTTGTCTCCTTTCCAGATTCTGCACAATTCAATTTCTGATTTCACTGTGACTTTTAATTTGATTTTGCTCGTATTCCGATTCATGACTACATGGTTGCATTCCTGAATCATCTCATCTTGAGCGTGGATTGCAAGATCGATTGATTGCTTCGAGTTTATCTTTTAGCTTTCTCACAATTCTTGATCAAGATTTATGCATGCATAATTCAATTGAATTTGATTTTTATTCTTGAGTGTAAGATTAAACAATTGATTAATTGATTTCTTTTGCATTCAAGGTTTAGGCAAATTCAGTATAGCAATCCTATTTCATGTTTGTGATTTTCGGTTTTAATCCTAGTTCTGTTCTATTTTTATTTGCCTTCGTTCTTTTAATTGCCATTCGTTCTTTTAATTCACATTCGTTCTTCCTCATTTTCATTGTCATTTTAATTCACTTTCTAGGTTTAATTCATTTTCGTTTTCATTTGATTCGCTTTTTGGGTTTAATTCGTTTATTTAATTCAATTTCAATTTAATTTGTTCTACTGTATTTTCCAAGTTTAATTCAATTCTCTATTGTCAATTTAAATTTCTGTTTAAATTCTTAAAAATTATAAAACCCTCAATCTAACCACTGTTACATGTTTAAAATTGGGAACAAAATGGATTTATGTCCTTGTGAGATTACCTAGGTTTGCTCCCTATATTGCAAAATTATTTAAGGAATCTAGTTTTTTTTTAAACCATTATGACATGGTTTTCAATATACATTAGAAGTAGTATATAATTATGCAGTTCCTTTTAATTTTCCAACCGGTGGTCAAATTCATCAAACTCTCAATTTTTATCTATATCAGGAAATGGAAAGGCCTTCCAGAATCATGAATAATGTATTTACTTATCATGATCATGATTTGCTAAGAAGACCTAATAGCTATACATTTGAAAGATTTCCTAGTATAGAATTAGTGGCGGACTCTAGTGACGCCTATCTTGGAAAGGATGATGAATTAACCGCTAAGGACTTGACAGAAATTGAGGGCTGACATGATATAGATGATTAGTTCTAGTTCCTCAGTATGTGGAAAGGAGTACGGACTGCTATAAACTTTGATTTATTTTGGATAATGATATGTAAATATTAATTTGTAATATATATCATGCAGTAAATTTTCTCAGAATGATTATATATATATATATATATATATATATATATATTAATTGTTATGAAAGAGTTTATTTTTGTAAATTTGAGTAATTGTTCCAAAAAAGTTGGTTATTTTTCTAAGATTTTATAAAAATAAATATAATTAAAATGGAGAAATTTAGGGTGTTACAATAATGGTATCAGATCAGTTCATCCAGACCAGACTGGGGTGTGGGACTAGTTCACTTGTGTTTTGCACTCATAGGTTTTTGTCTTACTAGAATGTGAAGTGAATGTTTGATAATATGATTTGCTGAATAACCATTATGTGATTAGTTTAATCTAAGTATATTCGTTTACACATGAATGATAGGCTGATAAGTTATTTGATTTCTTTCAGGATTAGAGATATGGCTGGTAGAGGTAGACTTGCTGGTGCAACAAACGAGCTCCTAGCCCGCATGACTCAAGTTATAGAGACTATGGCACAAAATCAGGGTGCTGAACTAGCAGAATATTGAGGGCTTTTCTCATTCACCAAGCATAACCCTCCAAAGTTCAAAGGAAAATTTGATCCAAAAGGAGCCCAAAGATGGATAGTGGACATGGAAAAGATTTTTAATGCTATAGGCTGTCACGAGGAGCACAAAGTGGTTTATGCCACCTACATGTTAGCTAGAGAAGTAGAGGACTGGTGGAAGTTTGCCAGTCAGACTCTGCCACAGGAAGATGGATATATTTCTTGGGAAGCATTCAAGGCAAGCTTTCTAGGAAATTATTTTTTCAGGTATTTGAAGAAACAGAAAGTAAGAGAATTCCTTGAACTAAAACAAGAAAATATGTCTATAGGGGAATACATCGCCAAATTCATAAGCTTATGAAATATTGGCCTCACTTTCAACATGAAAATGGAGACAAGGATTTATGTGCCTAGTTTGAGCATGGGCTGAGGCCTGACATTCAGGTAGCAGTTAGTGTATTTCAACTGACTGATTTACCAACTTTAGCTAGCAAGTGAAGAATTTTTTAGGCAAATTCTAAAGGAAAGACGGTGGATACAAGAGTTAGAGGGTCGGTGAGACAAGACCTAAGGCTTCCAAGGTTCCAAAGGGGACCTTATCCTAGAGTTAGTCAATTTCAATCAAGAGAGTCTGTTTCTTGTGGAAGTAGCAGTGGTGGTTCTAATGCCCTAAGGGATCCAATTAAATGTTTTAGATGTGGAGGACCCCATATTGTAAGAAATTATCCGCAACCACCGTCTGCTTGTAGTATTTGTGAAAGGATGGGACATTCTGCAAATACTCGTTGGTTTGCTCCTCAGAGAAATGAAAGTGCCAATGGAAGTAACAAACCTTTATCCAGAGGAAGTAGTGAATTCAAACCAACTACACAAGGCAAAGTATTTGCTATGAGTGGGGCTGAAGCAACAAAATCAGATGAATTGATCAGAGGTAAATGTGTAATAAATGAAAGGCTTTTGGATGTCTTGTTTAATTCTGGTGCTACACATTCATTTATTTCTATGGATTATATGAAATATCTTGGTTTGGCTGTATCTTCTATGCCGTATAATGTTGTAGTATCTACTCATATGGACAAGTTTGTTATGACTTCATCTATATGCTTGGGTTGTACAATAATGATTCATGGTAGGACTTTTAAAGTAGATCTAATTTGTTTACCATTATCTCAATTGGATGTCGTTTTGGGAATAGATTGGTCGTTGTCCAACCATGTTCTATTAGACTGTAAGGAGAAAGTTTTGATCTTCAGTGATGGTATCTCGAAAAACCCTAAGCTCTTGAGTATGAGTGATCAGAGTAATGTGACCAATGCAAAATCTTTTATGGTATTGTTCTCATTAGAGGTTGAGAAGAGTGTAAAGAAGGAAAATATTCCAGTAGTGCAAGAATTCCCAAAAGTTTTTCCAGATGATATAGTTAAATTACCACTGGAAAGGGAAATTGAATTTGCAATTGATCTCATTCCGAGGGCCAATCCAATTTCTATAGCATCGTATAGAATGTCACCTGTAGAATTAGCTGAAGTAAAGAAGCAGTTAGAGGAATTATTGCAGAAATAATTTGTAAGACTGAATGTATTACCATAGGGAGCACCAGTACTCCTAGTAAAGAAAAAAGGATGGGAGTATGAGGATGTGCATAGATTATCGTCAACTGAATAAGGTGACGATTAAAAACAAATATCTTCTATCCTAGATTGATGACTTAATGGATCATTTACGAAGAGCTTCAGTATTTTCAAAATATGATCTATGTTCTGGTTATCATCAGATTTGAGTGAAGAATGAGGACATGCCTAAAACTACTTTTAGGACTCATTATGGTCACTACGAGTACCTAGTTATGCCCTTTGGTGTAATTAATGCTCCAGCCGTGTTCATAGAATATACAAATAGAATCTTTCACGAGTTCTTGGATAAGTTTGTAGTAGTATTTATCGATGATATTTTGATTTACTCCAAGACTCAGGAGGAACACGCTAAACATTTAAGGATTGGTCTACATATATTGAATGAAAGACAATTGTATGCCAAGTTTTCAAAATATGAAATTTGCCTTTCATAAATACAAATTTTGGGCATGTAGTGTCGAAGGAAGAAATTATGGTAGATCTAACAAAGGTGGAGGTAGTAGCTCAATAGCCAAGGCCTACTACTCCAACCGAGATTTAAAGTTTTCTAGGATTGGCCGGCTATTATAGGAAATTTATTGAAAGATTTTCTAAAATAGTATTTCCCTTAACAAAACTGACCAAAAAGGGAAAAAACTTTGAATGGACAAAAGCATGTGAGGTTAGTTTTCAAAAATTAAAGGAGAAGTTGACATCGGCTCCTGTATTGATTTTGCTCGACCCAGAACAGAAATTTGAAGTATATTATGATGCATTGGGGCAAGGTCTTGGATGTGTTTTGATGCAGAATAGAAGAGTAGTTGCTTATGCTTCGAGATAATTGTGTTTTCATGAAGTTAGCTACCTCACTCACAATCTGGAGCTAGCTGTTGTGGTATTTGCACTTAAGATATGGAGACATTATCTTTATGGCGCAAAATTTAAGGTTTTTAGTGACCATAAGAGTTTAAAGTACTTATTTAATCAGAAGGAGTTAAATATGCGACAACAAAGGTGCATAGAATTTCTAAAGGACTATAATTTTACATTGTCTTATCACTCAAGAAAGGCAAATGTAGTTGCAAATGCACTAAGTAGAAAGTCTCTACACATCGCAGCTATGATAGTAAAAGAAAGAGAGTTAATTGAAAAGTTTTGAGATTTAAATTTGGAAGTGGAATTGAGACCTAATAGTCTTTACCTCGAAACTTTAAAGATCAATGATAACCTCCTAACTCAAATCCAAATTGCATAGCAGAATGATACATTTTTGCAAGAAATGATAAGATAGAAAAATGAAAGAAAGAGTTTAGAATTCTATTGTGATGCAAATGAATTGATCAAATTCAGGGATCGAGTATGTATTCCTCAAAATGAATAGTGATATCAAAGTTAAATTAGGTAATTATATTATATTTAGATTTTAGTGAGTTATTCATCTAAGTTTTACATCAACAAACTTAAAAAAAAAAGAGGTAAAAATATTATTAAAAAAATTATTTTATGTTTACTCACCATAATATGTTATTTGATAAAAAAATTATAAAAAAATAAAATTATATTAAGTGTTCATTAATATATATAAAAGATGTAAACTATAATTTTTGTTTGTGTTTTTTTTTTCTTTCATTTTCTTCTTTTCACTTGAGTGCGTCTAATAGGGAGTGAGCAAAAAATTCAAATTTAGAAATCCATCGATAACTTAACTTAACTAAATTTAAAAATCCAGATTTTTAATGAAACGAGATATCCAATCCATGGTAAAAAAAAGGATCCACATATATTTTTATCTAATTTATCAAAACTAGATTTAATTTATGAAAATTGATTTTTTTTTTCTTTTTTTTCTTCTAAATCTGATTTAATGGGCAACGATGAAAACACAAAAGTAACTATTTTTACAAAACGACAGAACTTGAAACTTGTTGTTTAGGTATTATTTTTGCTGGTGCTCTCGCTTTTATTTTATGACATAGACAAGACTTTGATTAAATTAATTTATGAGTTTTTCGGGCATTCTATAACTATTATTAAATATACAAACTTTAAGCAACTAGTCTTGTTAATTTAAATTTTAAGCGGTAAGTTTATTTTAATGTCTTTTTTGTATTTTTATTCTATTTTTTAAAAATATTATTAACTTTATTATTTCTATTAGCTAAAATAAGAATCAATCTGGTAGGAACCACTGCCATAATAAATAAGTAGTCTTTGATTTAGATAACCTTTTAAAGTTGTGTTCGAGATTAAAAGAAATAAATTAAAGTTACTTTTTTTAAAATGTATTATTAACTAAAGTTAAATTTATATTATTAATTTTTATTTTTATAGATTTTAATTTAAATTTTCATCATTAACTCCATTTATTAAAAATAAGTTAAAAATAATAATAAATATTTTATAAACTTTTATAAAATATAATATAATTAATAAATATTATTAAAATCTTCTTAAAACATATTAATAATATAACTGTGCATACAACAAATTAGTTTTATCTTAAAAACTAAATTCACAAATATATTGAAAATTAATATTATTTTAAAAATTAAATTTAAAATTAAATTTAAAACTAATTTAATGTAAAACTAAATTTAAAACTAGTTTTAACAAAAATTAATTTTTAAATTAATTTTAAATTAAATTCAAATTTTAAAATTACTTTTAAATTGATTAAATAAAATAAAATAAAACAGTTTAAAATTTACTTTGTATAATTAGTTTGTGTAGTAGATAAATGATAAAAAGTAGAATATATGTAAATATTTATTAGTTTAATATAATATAAATATAAAAAATTATATTATTAATAAATTAAAATATAGATAAATATAATTTTATATTAGTTATTATAAAATTTAAATATTTTTAATATAATAATTTAATTAGAATATAAAAATATTTATAGTATATTTTTATTAGATTTAAAATCAGTTTTAAATTAAATTTAAATTTAAATTAATTTTAAAAAATTAAAATAAATTAATTCAAAATTTAATTCATATATTTAGATTTTAAATAAATTTAAATTTATTATTTCAAAATACAATCCATGCACACTCTTAACGCACAGGACTTGCGCCCTCCCACTAACTTTAAGGGCAAAGAATGTAGTGAATCAATCTTCCATATTCAATAATAAAATAATTAATAATAATATTTGTAAAAGATTTTTTTATTGAAACCATCCGCATACATAATAAAAGATCACTAGTTAAGTTAAAATATCTTTATGTCAATTAGTCCACGGTTCAATAATAATTTGTAAAAGAATTTAAGCATAATTATGATTTAAATATTCATCTTTTTTATTTAGATACTACTATAATTTTATATAAAATTGTTCTGCAAAGCAAATATTATTTATTGTGATTGATATTTTTATAATGACGTTAATATTTTTTTATGTAATTTATATGTTTAATGTTTTAAATCTTTTATGTATAATCTTTTAATTTGTAATATATGTAATTTATTATTTTTAAAAAAAAATTTCAGCTAATTGAGTCCATCTATTTTTAAAATTGTGTAAATTTAATTCTTTGTTGATTTTCTTCTACCAAAACTATTGAAACTCTTTTTTTTTTTTAACTTAAAATCTTAATAAGTTAAAATAGTTAAATTATTTTAAACCTTCTTTTCCTTAAAATACAGATCTAAACACCAAAATTTAGTCAAAACAAATAGAATAATATTCTCTTTTATCAAAACTAATCTCATTTTTAAAATAACTCTTCAAATCTTATAAAAAATTTTATATATATTCTTAACTTTCAAATTTTTAAAATTATTTCATATAATATTTTTATAAAATCCTTAAATATTTGGATAAATATAATAATTTAAAATTTTTTAATATAATGAAATCAACGGAGGAACCAAGTTTACATAATTTCCAAAGTAAAAATAATGAATTAGGTTGAATAAAAATAGGTGATAAAATTGTACATGGGTCAAAGGGATAAAAATATAATTAAGCTTATTATATTTATAATTTAAATTAAAATATTAAAATAATTTTATAAAATGTTCATTATTCTGTATTCAATGCACACAATTGTATTTAGAGTTGACAAAATAGGCTATTTGAACATTCAGACCAGTTCATTGCAAGTATTAGGCTTTATTGAGCAAAGTTATAAAGGCTTAAATATATTTATATTTTGCAAAAATGTTGTTTAAAATGGGTAAAATTTGATTTTTATATATATATATATATATATATATATATATATATATATATATAGGAAAAGGATCTTCTTACACAAGTGTAAATCTAAAAACTCTTACACTTAATTTGAGCTTTTCATTTAACTTAAATCTAATAACCAGTGAAGTAATAAATTATAACTCATTATATTTAAGTTAAATGAAAGACTCAGATTAGATGTAAAAATTTTTAAACTTGCATCGGTGTAAGAAAATCATTCTCCATATATATATAACTCAAGCCCAAATTTTAAAACTCAAGCCTTGTATTGATATATAAATATTTATTTGAATAGAAACATAGAAATTATACTTAAAGTACTTAAACATAATTTTAGTATTTAATAAAATATTTATATTAAATTAAAATAAAATAAAATTTGGCCATGTAAAAATATTAAGAGTCTCTTTTTCATTTTTATTAATATGTGAATTTAACATATTAGTTTATTTCTTGTATTCTACATTATATATAAAAAGGAGTTTCACAAATAATTCTACCATCTGGATTCTAATATTCTCTTATGAATTTTAACTTTATCATTTGACGGTAGATGACTATATTTTTTATAATTTCATGTGAACAGTAAAAATTAATAAATTGAGACATATTTTAATTATATTAAATTAAGTTACGTAAAAAATAGTTATGTGATCAAATTTTACGTTCTATTTCCATTCTTCAATGAAAAACTAAACTCATGATTAAACAATTTTATAAAATTCTATTATTAAAATTCTTTAATGTGTATCATTAAAATAATCTATTAAAAATAAAGATAATCTATTAAAAACTAACAAAAAAAATTAAAAAAGATAGTAGAATATACCAGTGAAATTTTTTAATAGTTTTTTGTTTTTACTTTTAATATTTTAAGTGATGTATTAAAGGTATTATTAATATTTTTATTTTTAAAAAATAGGAAATCTGAATTCAGTGAAAAAAATTATTTTACTTCATTTTTAAAAGAAAAATATTAAATTCTTGCATTTGTACGTTCGAATCTCCGTTAAGATTTCCCCTTCCCCATTGCCCTGTAACTATTTTTCACAAAATTTCCGTTACATGTGTATAGATGATTGAAGCCGAAAAAATTGGGTTGGTCCGAAGGAGTGAGTTAAAAAAAAAATTGTTAAATGAGTGAATTTAAACTATATCATCAATTGAAAGAAGTTTTTTAGAGTTAAAGTTAATCAAAATTTACCTAAAGTCATCAATGTTACAAAAACAGTTGAATGGTTTCACAATTTTATCAATCGATAAATTTTTTTTAAAAAACATTAATATTAATATTATCATTAATAATTTTGCATCTCAGAATATTCAGAGAACTCATTTTTTATATTTTTTGTGTTTTTGTAGTTAATTATAATATAAGAATTGTTTAAATGAAAAAATATTTTTTTATAATTTTATTAAAAAAAATTATAACCACTTAAAAAAGTATTATTTTAATAAAATTATTAATATATATTTTTATTTTTTTATTACATTTTATAATTTTTTTAAAGACTCTATTTTCTTATTTCGTCTAGGTCCTAAAAAGGTCAAAAACTGCCCAGGATCTTCCTCACATACGGAAATCCATTCTAGCAAGAAGAAGTAGATTGAGATCCGAACAAGGGAATCTTCTCCAACTGAATAAGTGGGAGGGGCGTGGGAGTTGGAATTAGTGTTGAGATTAGGATATGGAGAGAGGTTAGGGTTGGGTAACTGAAGGGTGTGGGAGTTAGAGTTGGGGTTGGAATTACGATGTGGGGAAGGGTTGGGGTGTGGGTAGCAGAAGAATTTGCGGTCCCAATCCTGTATTTTCTGAGATGCAGCAATTTTAGCTTCTTAATAAGAATTTGATTTCTTTATGGATTTGCGTTTTATCTCTTCTGAGGGGTGCCCTCAGCAGATAGTCTAAAAGATGAAATAATTCCTCTTCTTCTTGTTCATGATCTTGGACTACTGTTATATTGTTCTCCCCATCACTATCACCATCAGTTCTTCTGGATGCCTCATCAATACCCTGAATTATAAGAAAATTGCGCATGCATCTCTTTAGTCTCGCTCTATCCTGGTCACATATGAGCTTGAGTAATTGAAAGGAAATTTGGCTCTCCAATAGGAGCAGATCTTGATGGACCCGCACCAGTTTGTTAGTGCTAACCATGGAGTTTTTTTTTGGGTTATTAGAATTCATAGATTTGTCCAATACTTGAAGTAGCAAACACCCATCCTCCGTCATTCACTCATGCCTTCGTCTTTCCAATGGAGATCCTGTGGCCATGAACCTGGTGCGTATGAGTTCCGCCCAATATCTTCAAGAAAAGTGAGGATGAAGGTGGAGGATGCGGGTTAGAGCTGGAGGTGATGGGCTTGATGCATAGAGAGATTGGGAAGAAGATATAAAATATTTTTAAAGAATATTTTTTTAATATTTATTGTAAATAATAAAATATTATAAAATAAATAACATGATATACTACGTGATAAGATTGAATTGACTTTTTATTTGACAATTTAGCACTTAATAAAAGATAATTAATAAAATTTAAATCTTAACTTTTTAATATTTTAGAGATTAAATTCTAACAAAAAATTTATAAAGATTTATCTAAATATCTAATATTTACAGGAACTAAAAATATAATTAAACTTAAAAATTAGTTGTTACAAAAATAATAAAAAAAAAAGAACTATTGACTTGTCACATCTTAAAAAAATATATAAAAAATTAGTCTAATAAAAAAATTAGACAAAAAAATGAGTTACTTATTAGGCTCTTTAACCGCCTAAATAACTTGATACAAAAACTGAAAAAAAAAAATTGTGGTCTATTGTTATAAAAACAGTAAAAAAAAATAGTCTATTACAAAGAATAGAAAAAAGAAAACAAAAAAAAAAAAATTATTCAAGTTGTTGGGCTACCCCGCAAAAGCCTATAGTCCACACAGAACTAGACTTAAATAGTAAAATTGCAAGTTTATTTTTATTTTAGACTAAATAAGTCTGATCCGTTTGAGTCATTACCTGAACCAGACTGAGATCGGACTTTTTTAACAGCTCTAATTGATTAAGAAATGTAAAATTTAGTTCTAATTAATTTTCATATAAGTTATTAATAATTAATGATATGTTTGTCTGCAGTGATTTAAGTAGGAAAAAAAGTAAAAATACTGATTTTATTAAGATTATTCTCTTTTGTTGATGTCTTGTCCTTTAGTGTCAAGAAAGAAAAGAAATAAATATAGTTCTTATTTGAAAATTTTCACTAATCAAAATTTTTTTTTGTTCATTTTATTTTATTTTGATATTAAACAATTTTATTTTATTTTTACTATTGAATGGGGGCTTAAAAGTCCAGAAAAATAAAAAAATGTAGAAACTACCTTTAAAAATTCAGACCTCTGAAGTGTCCAATCTCAAAAAAGGAATAAGATAGGAGGGAACCTCATATTCATTATTTAATTTAGCTAATCAATTGGTACATTAGTTAGCTTTTCTTAAAAAATGGTTAAACTTAAAAAACAAAAATTTTTCAACAAATTCCTAATTTGACTAACAACATAAAAAGAAGGATGATTACAACTTTGAACATTAACAACTAAAAAAAATAACCTCTTTTAAGTCACATTGAATCCAAATTAAATTGATCCGGTTGAAAATGACAAGATAGAGACCCTATAAAACATTCCAAAATTCTACAGTTAAGAAAGAACAAAAATCTAAAACCCTATAAAAGCCTCTAAAGAAAGTACTGCTGTCCTAATAATGAAATATGTAACAACAAATATGTAAAACTTAAAAAATGAAATTTTTATGATGAAAAAAGTTTTTTAATTTTTTTTAATTTGTTAAATTATTTATTATTTTTTAATATTTTGTAATAAAATAATTATAAAATTTTGAATTGACTGCACTTTTAAACTACTACATTCATACAATACAATTGATACTAACTTAGTAAAATCATGCATTTAAAATTAAAAAGCAATCAACGTTAAAGGAAATTAAAACTTACTTGAGATAGCCGTTGGCCATTGTTGCGAAACAGTAACCTTTTGCGAACAATTCAAAATCCTGTCCCCCGCTTAAACCTCTTCATCTTCGTCCTCACTCAATTATCTTCATCAAATTAACGAAAGTGCCATTCATTCAATTCAACGATGGGTTCGAAGAGCCAACCCAAGGCAGAAGAAGAGGGGAAAATTCCGGTGTTAACTGTGCTGAAGAACAACGCAATCCTGAAGAACATCTTCATCGTGAACAAGCCACAAGAAGAAAAGGAGTCACGTGATGATCACGAGGACATTCTCCTCGTCGGTCGTCATCCCGATTGCGACCTCATGCTCACGCACCCCAGCATCAGCAGATTCCACCTCCAGATTTGCTCCAAACCCGCTTCTAAAACCTTCTTCGTCCTCGATTTATCTTCCGGTAATCGCTTTTTCTTTTTTTCTTTTTAATTTTTCGGTTTCTTGAATTTTTTATGGGTAATGGCAGTGCATGGGACGTGGGTGTCTGAGAGGAAGATTGAGCCTATGGTGAACGTGGAGATGAAGGAAGGTGACACGCTCAGGATTGGGGTTTCGAGTAGGGTTTATCGTCTGCATTGGATTCCGATTAGTCGTGCCTATGATTTGGAAAACCCCTTCTTATCACAATTGGATGTCGTTGTGGAAGAAGAAGAAGAAGAAGAAGGAGGAGGCAAGGTACGGAATCAGTACAGATTTAGAAATTGGAATGCCAACAAGGTTTTTGTGATTCTTTTTTTGTTTTAATTTCTTTTTGAATTGTTTTATTTTATTTATTATTTTGGAGTTCGAGTGATTAAATAGGATGGGAAATTTATTTATGGAAGCAAGAATGACATTTCAAATAGTAGTGTATCTATATTTGTAACACGGACGAAATCTCGTGATTATGTCCAGCTGCATCTTATAAATTTTTTGCATTTTTTTCTTCCGAACTTTCGTATATCAGTAAAAATGAGAGTATTACAAAAATTAAATAAGATAAATTATCTATCTATGTATATGTATACAACATAATATTTCTAACCTGTGCAATTTAATGTGATAATACTATTAAATGCTAAAATTTTTAATAAAAAATTATTATACTTAACTTCTCATGTACAATTTTGCATAGGTTAGAAAAAAGGACTCGTGTTTACCTATAAAACATCAGTTTCTCTTTCACTTCAAGACTTGTGTTATGTAATAATTTTATACTAATTTTATATGTTTTATTATAGTCGTGTCTTATATTATTTTAAATTTGTGGTTTACATGTATTCCTATTTCAGTGTTTTTCTGTAACTAATGCTTCAATTGATAGAGTCATGCTGAGCTTTGTTTGATCCATGTACAAGCAAGCACCCTTGGTGGGATAAGGGTTGTTTTGCTGTTTTCTGTAAGTAGTGATTCATATGATCTTTACATTTCTGTTGTTTTGGAGCCTGCAGAACTTGAATTGCTGCCTAGCTGAAAACGAAGAAATTGAATCAGTAGATTCAATTCTTAAGGATACCAATTCCTTATCACTTGATGAGAATGTGGAAATAATTGTGAAAGAAGAGATTCCCTTGGCAGCTGGTATGCTGGAAGATATGGTTTCTTTATGTTGCGAGGAAGAAAGGAAGCGCCCATCAAAAGAGGATGATCTTTATGGAACTAAAACATCATATTTGCCTTTGATATCTGGGGTTGAAAACGAATTGTATGATTCTCCACCTTATGTTGAATCAGTTGCTGAAACATTGACAGAGAATTTGTCTGAGAATGTATATTTGCCAGCTGCGGAGGCTGTTTTGGGGACCAAAGTGCAGCAATTCCATGCTCCACCTGATACATTTGCTTCACCATTACCTTCTGGTCTAGAGAATTCATTTGAAAAACATTATTCCAGCTTGCCTATAAATACATCTCCGGCACCTCTTAATGACAAAAGTGAAGCTGAAGCTGTAATAATACCTTCTACTAAAGAATTTGAATCTGAATGTACACTCAGAGATGATGGGAGTGTTACAGATGCTTTTACTGCTGGAGCTGGAATTTTCAATTCTGAGAACAGCCTGAACAGGCTTCTGCCTGCTGAGGAAGCTATGTCTGGCACCAAATTTCAACAAATTAAAGTTCTTGAGGAAGTTGAATTGAATTCTTCATCCGATGGAGAAAAACAATACACATGGTCACCACCACAGCTGCTGAATGATCAATTTTGTCATGATCAAGGGAACTCACTCGATGAAACAGCTCAAGATATTCAAAATAAGCAGACAGGTAGCATCTCTCCCAAATCATGTCAGTTAGAGTCGGTCAATTTGTCAATGCCCAAGGAAGCAGTTTTGAATTTTACAAATGAGAACCAGACCCTGCAGCCTGATATGGAAACCCTTGAAAGCAGTGTGAAAGCAATGAAGAAAAATTCAACAACTCGTAATATTTGGTCAAGAAGAGGTAAAGCTACTAGTGCTCCTCAGGTTCGAACTAGCAAGAGTATACTTAATAAGAGAACAGCCAATGTTGACACTGAGGTTGCAACGAGCAATGAGAAGGGTAATATAAGTACAACAATACTGAAGAATCTCTCCTCTGTTCTGGATAGAGAAGTAGAAGTAGAAGAAGTAGAAGAAGAAGAAATCTTCACTCCAGACAAAGAGAACTTCAGTCCAAATGCCCTTCAGTTGCGATTTTTGAAGAAGGGTGAGCTAGAAGAAATTAAACATCCCAAGTCACAAAGGTCACACAATTCAAAGGATGAATTTAATCTTCACATCCATCCAACTGAAAGCATTGGCGCCACTTTATGCAAAAAGAACCAGAGGGAGATCATAAATAAAAATATGTCAAAGAATCTTTTCTCAGTTTTGGATGGGGAAGAAGATGAACGGGTAGAAGTCTATACTCCAGATAAGGAAAACTTCAGCCCGAATTTCCTTCAATTGCGGCTTCTGAAAAAGAAGGGTGAGGTAGAAGAAATTAAATGTTCCGAGTATCCATGGCCTCAAAATTCAAAGGATAATTTTTCTTGCAACATGTATCCAGCTGAAAACACGAGCCCCACCTCAAACAAAGAGAATCAGATTCCAAAAGGAGCGCAATATCAAAAGTTGCAAAGAAAGCCTTTCAGCGGCCATATCAAGTTGGGACAGGAGCAAGATGTTATGACATTTACGGACAGAGTGAAAAGGGTACCCTTCCAATCACTAAAGAACCCAGGAGATGAGAGAAAATCAGGCACTTTGTGTCCTGTTTCTGCTGCAAAAAGCTTTGATTTGAGTGATTGTGGACAAATTTTAGACCAGCATATTAACCCTTCTGTAAGTCGACAGAGAAAAATAACATGCATTCATGTTTATTGTGAATGTTTTAAAGACTTTGTTTAGTGTATGCTAATACCAGTTTCATTTGCAGGATATTAATGGGAAGAAAAAGAAGAGCTGGAAGATGGTTGTGGATACTACCTCTCTTCTGAACAAGGAATCTAGGAAAGCTCTGCAGCTTTTACAGGGTCTAAAGGGAACGCGGTTAATTATTCCGAGATTGGGTAAAGTTTTTAAAATATTATTTCCTTTATGTTTATTTGAAATGAAATGGTGTTGTTTCTCATTTATACGGTCATCACTTTGCAATGTCAGTCATAAGGGAACTGAACAGTATGAAGCGGCAGTTCACAATTTTCAGAAGAATTTCAGAGGCTTCTTTGGCATTAGAATGGATTGAAGAATGTATGGTGAAGACAAACTGGTGGATTCGTATCCATAGCTCCGTGGAGGAAGGAGGGTTGATTGCTCCAACCCCACCAGCTTTCCCTCAGACTCAGTTTAGTGAAGAGAGGACTTTTCTTGGTGGGAGTGGGAGTGAGAGGGAGAGTGGGAGTTCGCAGCCTCTTTCATCCCATAAGTTCATGGATATTGCTTCACCAACACTTGAAGATCACATCCTTGACTTTGCTCTCCTATATAAAAGAAAGCATCATGATGGCCAACTTGCCCTGCTTAGTGAGGATGTCACTTTGAAAATCAAATGCATGGCAGAGGTATTTTTTATCTTTCAAAACAATAACTCTAGTCATAATGCTATATCTCATGTTCTCAACTCCAGAGATTAAACTCTGTGTTTGCTTCAGGGATTGCTATGTGAGCCAGTGCAGGAGTTTCGTGAGAGTCTAGTGAATCCATTCTCGGAGAGGTTCTTGTGGACCAACAGCTCTCCTCGAGGACACACTTGGTCTTGCCAAGATGATGTAGTTTTGAGGGAGAAATATTGTCCTTTGCCTTTGAGGAAGTCATCAAAGGGACCTGCAAGCGGTTTGAAGCTCATTCTGCTTCACAATTCTCAATATGGGCACTGAGCCATTGACAGTTTTGTTTGATCAGCACTCTCATTTGCTCTGTTCAAATTTTCTGTGCCTCATTTTATCCAGCTTGTAGCGATGTCACCCACAACTATCGTTGAGAGAAGAAACGACACTAACATATTTTTTAACAAATGTGTTAAAAAAATTTATAATTTTTAAGTAATTTTAGCCAAAAGTGATGATAAAAAGAATGTGTTTCAGCTTGATGAAGTAGCATGCCTAAATTGTAATTCCTAGAGCTTATCAGTAGTTTTGGTAACTTCGGAGAAATTGAAGACGTGAGAGATTCGCTGTCGAAGCCCTTCTAGCCAACCTGATTGGGTCGACCATTTGTTGGTTCATATATCATTGCACGACTTGAAATCATTTTTCCGACATCTTTCTTAGGTAATCAATGAAACCTGTTAGTAGACATAATTCCAAGCGATTTACTTCTCCTAATCCGTAGTTTGTTTCACAAGAACTTTTAGATGTTTTTATTGATTGCCAATATAAATTCTTTTATAAAGTTTTACGATGATAGGAGTTAGAGTCCTTGCCCTAATATCATTGTAAATACTAACTCAAACAAGGTCAAGTCTTGGCTGGTTTACTCTAGGAAAAAGAAAGTTGTTAATAATGACAGTTAGCAGTTAAAAGTTATTTTTCTATTTCAAGCCCCAACTATAAATAGTAGCTGGGAGAGTTAGGATCTTTTTGAAAGTTAGTTTCTAAATTGGGCAAAGAAAATTCTCTTAGGAGCATTGCTTTGGGGTACATGATTGTACATTGAAAATTAATCAATTCAATAAAGATTGTCTTTTCTTCCTTCTTTTCTTGTGAACATAACACTAGTATGACCTGCCAGATAGCGTTGGGAAAGAAACAAAGAAGTGTGGACCAGCAAGAATTTCAAGATGATGAAGTGTGGTGCAAATGAAGGTCATCGTAGTGACGTTTTTTAGGAAAGAATGAATTCCTTGGAGGAAAGATTAGACGTTTTCATGGAGATGATGACTGGGAGGGTGGGAAGCCTTAAAGATTTGGTATGAGACTTCATTATCAAACACGATGACCTTTTGGGTCGAAATTCAAGTCAAAACAATTCTGGCGCTGATGAACAAGAAGCATCGCATAACACAGATGCAGACGCGTTGGCTGAGTTTCGCCTAATGGCAAAGAAGGTGGAACTGCCTTCATTCAATGGGATTGACCCAAGGGGATAGATCACGAGGGCTGAAACCTGGTTTCAGACTTGGCTTGATTCTAAGGCTATTCCCAATTGGAAATTCTTCAAGAACGTGCTACAATTGCGTTTTAGAGGGGGGCGTTTGGATGATCTCTTTGAAGAACTCGTTGACTTGAAGCAGAAAGGGTCCGTAGAAGAATACATCGAAGATTTTGAGTCTCTTACAGCCTAGATGGGACGCTTACCTGAGTATCAGTTTGTGGGATTTTTTATGAAAGGACTGAAGGAGCAGCCAAGGAATTGGTCCCTATGGGTGCATTGGGCTGAATTCTGGTATAACACCTTCCATATTGCCACAACTACTACTTCATTTGAAATTGTTTATAGCAGACCTTCTCCAAGACTTACCGGGTTCCTTCTTCGAGAAACCAAGGTACAAGTTGTAGCCAATGATCTACTAGATCGTGATGAAGCTCTATATCAGCTGAAGTTTAACTTGCACAAGGCCCAGTAGCAAATGAAGCATTTTGCTGACAAGAAAAGAAGAGCAATATCCTTTGAAGTTGGAGAGTTTGTTTTCTTAAAGCTGTACCCCCACAAGCAACAAATAGTGGCAAGGAGGATCAATCCTAAACTTGTTGTTAGGTTCTATGGGCCCTACAGGATTCTGCAGAGGGAGGGTTAGTGAGGTAGTTTATAAGCTGCAACTGCCTGAGACCTCAAGACTGCATCCGGTATTTCATGTTTCTCAGTTAAAAAGGGTCGTTGGTAACTACACTACCTCTCTTGACCTACTTAGTGGATTTGAAGTCAAACTAGAAGCTACAATTGAACCTGAAGTTACTCTAGCCCAAATAGAAGTTATTAGCAGCTGTACTCCTTGCAAGGATCAAATAGTAGAACTGCCCTCCAAAGGACACCATGTGGGAAGATGAATTTGTGCTATTGAGCCATTTCCTCACTTCAGACTTGAAGGCAAGTCTATTCTTCTAGAAGGGGATAATGATAGAGTAGTCAGGATCTTTGTTCTAATATCATTGTAAATACTAATCCAGACAAGACCAAGCCTTGGGTGGTTTACTCTGAAAAAAAGAAAGTCATTAATAACGACAGTTAGCAGTTAGGAGTTATTTCTCTGTTTCAAGCCCCAATTATAAATAGTAGCTGGAAGAGTTAGTTAGGAGTCTTTTGAAAGTTAGTTTCTAAACTTAGACAGAAAATTCTCTAAGGAGCATTACTTTGAGGTATAAAAATTCAATAAAGATTGTCTTTTCTTTCCTCTTTTTTTGTGAACAGAGTATGTATATATATTTTTTTTACATATTTATTTATTTATTATTAAACATTTTTAACTTCTTAACAATTAATATAATAATACTTTCTTTAGTTCTTTTTATAAAAAATAATTATTAATTTTATAAAAAAAATATATTTATTTTTAGATGTATTAATTGTTACATTATTTTCATAGTTTTATTTATTATATGAATATTGAAAAGGTACTCACTAATTATTCCATTTAATATACTATTAATTAATTTGATTATTTAATATTATAAATTTATAACATATCAGTACATAATTTCATTTTATTTTTGTCAATTAGTTTGTTAAATAAAATTAAACGTTTTAGCAAAATAAAAAAATTAAACAAGTAAACTTCAACTGAACGTAAATAAGTTTCACATTCAATTCATGATAATTAAGGTATCTCTTTCACTATTCTGCCTAACCTTAATAAAGGAACATATAAAAATATATAAATAACAATATTTGAAAATAAAAATAATAAATCAAAACATATTCATTTGTTAAAAAAATTTTGAATACTAAATTATTAAAGAGCCTTATTCAAAAAGAAGCAAGTCTAAAAATGAGCAGCTCATTTCCCCTCTTTACATCTCTTTTGTTTTCTCATTTTATTTTTTGGATCATTCATATATCAACGGATACACATCACTCTCATTTTATTTTTTGGTTGAATTAAATATGTTATTTAATTGGTTCTTACATAAAAATAATAATTAATTTTTGTTGTTTATAAATAAATTGACAATGTAAGATGAAAAATATTAAAATATAAAAGAATACTCGTATAAAATTTAAAATATAAATATTTAATTATAAAATTAATTTATAGTGTTAATTATATAGATAAATATATATCCTAACTAGAAAATAAAAGAATTTTTGTTGGTAAATTTATTTTAAAAAAATAAAAAATGAAATACCAAATGAAAAAGTTACAAAGTTTTAATAGATAAAATACTTATATCTTCAAACAAACTTATATTCCATGTAATTTCATAATCCAAAAATATTATTTTATTTTTTATAAAAAAAGTAATTTTCAAAGATTCTATAAAACATAATATATAATAAAAATTATAATGATATTGTTAATACTAATTTATAATCTTTTATAATTTAAGTTTGTATTTATTTAAAAATATATAATTTGTTGTTAAAATAAATATTTAGTCCTTAAATTAACACTTATTACAAATTAGTTATTATAATTCAAATTTTACATTTTTTTTCATTTTATACAAATGATATTTTTTGTCTCTTTTGTTTAACACTAGTCATCATTTTTTTATACTTTATTACAACTCAACACCCGCTAACAAGAGTGTAGTAAAGATAGCACATAATAAAAATTATTAAAGAGAATGCAAATTACAAAAAGTTAACTACATTCTACATAAATTTAAAGATATACATCTCTATACAACTCCATAGCACACCACCTAATTACACCTTGAAGCACTCCAAATGTAGAAACATCATAAGCAACTATTTTGAATATGAAAGAGTTTGAAAATTCTATCTTGACCAAACAATCCTTGAAAAATTCTATGGTTAATTTTTGGGTAGAACACCAAAGAAAAATTTTATAACTTTTTCAATAACCTTAGAAAAGAGTTGCACAAGAACGGTTGATCCTAAAGAAACCTTTGTTTACCTTTAAACCTATCATTTAGTAAGAACGATTGATTCTAAAGAAACTTTTGTTTACCTTTAAACCTATCATTTAGTAACAAGGAATTAGTCTTGATTTCCACATGAGAATATGCATATCCTAGTTCAAAAAAATAAAATCTAGGACCAAATTTAGAGCATTAACTTCAACTTCAAATTTTATTTTTTGTTACAATATAATCATAGAAACAACAACAAAAACATTCATAATAGATAACATCACTCCTCCTACTACATACACATCTCTATCAAGACAGTAAGTTACACATAAGCAACAATTTTTCCTCAAAGGGCCTAGTCTTATTGCTAAAATGATGTTTGATAGGAGATTACCTTTTTTGATATGTTTTATTTTTCTTTACTTGGAAAGATGACTTAGACCACCTAGACCAGTGGTAATAAATTTTCTGAATCAACACCTCTTTATTGATAGATTCTATGAGACTTGTTGCAATCGGGGTCACAACGGGACGACGATGACAAGGAATCGTCACCAAAGTTTATTAAAGAAAATATTAGAAAAACTTTTAATTAAAAAAAATCTTCGAAACCAGATTTGAGCTCAGGAGTCGTTTACGTGTAAGGAAAGTATTAGCACCTTATGACCTCCGTTGGTTAAAACAGTTACCTTCTAATTAATTGTGCAAAATTTTATTTTAACTTTAAAAAAATTTATTTCACTCTAAAAGAAACTAATTAATATTTTTTTTTTTACTATTTTCAAATTTTTTATTATTATTATTTTTAGATTTATCTCTAATTTTTACAAATTTTTGGAGAGATTTTAATTTTACTTTTTAAAAATGAGGAAATACAATAAAAATTATTTGAATTAAAGGAATGA